TGGCCTCCTAACAATATACCACATAGTATGAATGGAATTGGTGAATTTTTAATGCAGAATGTGCCGTTGAATTTATATAAAACAATGTCAAGTAGTTTGATTCATCACCAGGAGAACCCCAGCCACAAACATAATCTGACATCAATTAATTTTGAAAAGCGCAGAAAATGGAGTCAAGTAGCAACACAAAGAATTTAATTACAGATCTACCATCAGTTAAGATTGAAATTCTAAAAAAGTTCAAATTTTATATCAATTTAAGTACGAATAAATCAACACCCAACTATAATATATTCTAAAATTAAGTATTAAAAATTGTTTCCGTCACAAAGTAATAATTGGGAGTAGACACAAAATTTAAAACTTCTTGTAGTAACTTTCCCTGTTGAATCACGGCGAAATTGAAAATCCATATCAGAACCAAGATTCTGCATAACCGTTTCTTAGCCCAAAAACAACGAAATTCGGGGAACAATCTTAATGTTGCTTTTAGTATGACTGAATAAGTAGTAATTTTGTCAACGTTCATGGACAATAGTCTAGGACGTACCTTCTTATCTCTGGTTCTGTTTTATGCATAATCTCATTAAAAAAGAACCCCTTTTAACGAATCTACATATTGCCAGACCCACAATTGCATCAAAAATCCATTTTTTTCGCTTCGGACAAGTTTTCTAGGTTTTTTGACATTCCGAACAAACATTACGCTTACGAACTCTTCTGTGAAGTTGATAGTTTTCGACACATAAATATGCCACTTTCGACCTCCAAAAAAATACGAAGGTTCCTAGGGGCGATCGCCAGCTGCATTTCTTTCGTGGTCACTCAGAATATACGTTGAGGATGGGAGTGATTAATAAATAAAAAAAAACAAAGTATAACAATACCCCCTGAAATGCTTTGGGATTTTGTTGATGGATCTTCGTAGAAAATTTAGGAATTTTGGCATCATTGAATTGTTTTGTCTTATTGCGCTCAAGCTCAACAATTGCGTATTTTGCACATTTTTGAATAATGAATCGCATATATCTCGAAAAGTCCATCAGTACCCTTTTTGTTCAGAGTGACAGAAAAGCTTTGTTCGGAGTAAAAAAACATTTTTTGAAATTTGAACAAAGAAAATTGGTAGATCACAAGCTGTTTATCGATAAAACAGACTTCTGGGATCACCTATTACCTATATTGTCGAATTGTGCTTCACTGAATCACATCAAATATGGACTATACAGCTATCCAGATATGAAAAGCCTTTTACAAGGAGCGGTAAACGTCTTACAATACAAAAAAAAAATTGATTAAATACTCATAGGCCTATAGGCATGCGAAATAGACGACTCAGAGACTTGATGAGACGATCGCAGGCTTTTAAAGTAAATGAATGGAATACTCTCTGCTTTGCAAAAAGTATGTCCCGCAAAGAAAACTATTAGTGTCCATAATAGCCTCTAAACGAAACTCATTTTCCGTCAGAATTCAGCATATACATATAATCTTTTTATGAGGCATGTACAATGCAGATTCCACACTTTCCAATTAACTTAACTACCATAGGATCGTTCAAAAAATCAGCGTTTTATTGTAGGAGACAATTGCAATCGGCTGACGAATTTACAATGTCAGTTGGACAGTACCAACGAATTCAGACAAGGTAGAAGGAGAAAGTAAAGGATTTGTTTGTCTGCTAATTCCCATAGTCCCTGTGAGGATCAAATCATACTTGAGACAAGTTAATTTTTTGACAGCTTTGTCATTAAATTCATATTTTAGGGTTATTTTTAAAAATGCTATTGTTTATAGATAATTGTGGTGTTAGGCGATTTCAAGATAATATGATACTTCTTACAAAATTCACCATCGTTAGACAGCAATGATCCTATTTCATTTTCATTGATTACTTGTCTGTTTCATAATTCTAAATTATAATTAAAGGAATACATTCTCTATGTTTGCCTGGTTCGCTAAGGCCCGTTTCGTCAGTCGTCCCTACAATTGTAGGACGCCTTTATGGCCTCCTTGATTGTCATAGTTTTCTACTTCTCCGTGTCAGAACACTATTTTGAGGTTATGTCACAAACATCTATTTGCATCAAACTGTGCTTGCTTTTGAGTTATATCATGTTTTATCAGCCTGAAATTTCCTACAATTTAAAATGAAAACATATCTTCACAATTGGAGAGCGCTGACGCTGACACGGGACAAGTGTAATCTAGAAAGGAGTATGACAATCAAGGAGGCCATAAACGCGCCCTACAATTGTACGGACGACTGACGATATGGGCCTAAATGAAACCACGTACGTTATAATTCCTGTTTACTGAAACAAAGTTATAGTAACACACTGTATATGAATGTGAAAAATAAAAAATGGCACTTCCCACGCAACGCCGTCATAACTTCATAACTGCAAAAGTTTGACCCTCTGAGAAAATAGTTACGAACATGAAATGAAGAGAAATTATACGGATCAAGTCAATCAAAAAGGTTCATAGGATTAGTTCATAGACATTCTTTTCCTGCCCTACCAGTAATACCGTCCATTTGTCAACTTCGCCTCCCCACGATACCTGACCGCACGACGGGTCAGACGCGGCAGCGCAGCACAGCGGTAGTAATAACAGGACACATACTACGACCGGCACGCCCGCCGGTGAATACGTAAAATGGGCAGAAGTGACACGTATCGAAAACATTTCTCTACCATCATGTAGTTTTAAGGGAAAATATACAGGGAAAAAGAACTTGACTGCTCCTCCTACCTAGTCTTTGTTATACCCTTATTACTTCCAATTTATTCCATTTTATTACCTCTCACATGTTTCGATTACATTATCTATGCTCGATGCTGTTCAGCACAGGATTGATCGTTACTTTTCTTAAACGGACAGTCTCGGGACCATTTCGTAACGACGAGCCGTTGGCAATCTGGCTCTCTTCAACAGCTATGTCAACGGGCTTTGCTCCACAGAGCTTTTCTCCATGATACTACCGCCCGATGGCCTGCCAGACAGACCTGCCTGACTTCGGCCTCCCATCCTAACCGTGTCGAAATTCATACATCCAGAACTGGCCGCTCCTTTGTTCCTAGGATATCGAGATTGTGGAACAATCTGCCTGAGGAGACATTTACCAGTTATATTGACTTTGGGCACTTCAAAAATCGAATTAGCAATGTGTCCTAAGCAACCGTGGTGCCCCGGTGTTTAGGCTTCCGCCTACGCGGCTGCTTCAGTATGAAAAAATTGTTATTCCAAGCGCCGGTTTCTCTTCTGTTGGGGTGTCTGCAGCGTGCCGGAACCCCCGAGACAATATTAATTCAGTTTGAGCCAGAGCCAGACTCCCCTCGATCTCTTTTATTTCGTGTGCGAAAGGGGGAGCATGGGTGGTGGCTGGCAAACGACGTCGCCGCTTTGCCGCCGCCTAGCCTAGCGCGGCGACGCTCGCCGACGTCTTCGCGTTCTCGGATATCGACGCCGGCGTTGGCCTTCGCAAGATGTTGAGGGTTGAGGGGGAATCGTTGAAAATGCCGGTGAGAGGGATGTTTTACTCGTAGATAATAATAATAATCTTTGGTAGTTTGCCAATATACGAAAGCTGGTGAATGAATACAGAATATAAACTAATGGACACCAGCTCTGACTAATGTCTCAGTTTTTGGTAATATGTGGGGAGATATATAGGATCAATGTAAACATTCCTGCTTTTACAAGTCTCGACTCGCCGGAAATAAATCGCACTAGTTGACCAGTCGTCTACTTTTGAAGAAGTGTCCAGCAACTTAACATACATTCATATAATCGTCTTTCAGTACTTGAAATATCGTTCATACTGGGATAATTAAATTTATTGTGCACGTCGGTATTCTAAATAAAAATAATTTGTATAATAAATCTGTAGCCTACCAGACGCCAAGTATCTTAATGTTACGGCAAGTCTCTCGCGAATACTGATAGGTTTTCTGAACTTGGTATCTTGTTTCAATGCGAAAGGTGCTATTTTGTTAGCCAAATTTTCAAAATCAGATAATTTCATTCGAGGGAAGTTTGAAAATTGTGATGGATCTTCGGCACTGAGATCACGCATTAAATGGCTGTATGCACTATGTTCTTCACGTCGTAAAATCCATTCTGGAACCCACACAGTTCGTTTTTTCTTATTTCTATTTTTTCACCTATCAATAATTACAATAGCAGCACATGTTCTCTTCGATATTTTCATCGTATAGATACCCACTAGTCTAAACTGAGCAACGCTTCAATGTATATTTATTGCAAGCTTTTGGAATACCTATATGCGATGTCCTACACAAGTATATGATATAAATTTATAATAATGTAAACAGTTAAAGCTACTTATGTCAGACGCTCTTAGATAAATGTCATACAATAAGTGTCAGATGTAAACTTACCTTTATTCAGTGCTCTTCTTTAATGTCCCCCTCCCTTTTTGATTTTTTGAACGGATCAATTCAAAAAATTAAAACTTGAGATAATGAAATTGATGCGTGGATATATTTTAGAGTAAAATTGACAGATGAAAATGTCAAGATGGCTGCTAGGCGCCATCTTAGAGAAAAAGGTTATATGAAAACGGGGGCTTGTGGCACATCATTTTGAAGCTCCTGACGAGTACTTTATAACCCTAGAATATAGAGTCAATACCTTTCCTACTACAAAATGGTGGTACATTTAATAATTACCTGAATACATTGACATTTCATGTTGGAAATGGTTGCCTTAAACTTCTTGACACAATAACAGCCGGTCCGTAGTTTCGCGTCGAACATTTTCCAACATAGTAACATCGATATTTCTACAAACATTTGTTATTCTCAACCGTATAGCCAATATTGAATCAGGTTCAGTTTCGTACACCTTTTACTTCAAACAGCTCCATGAATAAAGGCTAAAGGTGTCAAATCTGGCGAGCGAGCTGGCCATTCCACAGGACCTCGACGGCCAATCCAACGACCGGGGAAATTGTTATCTAAATAATTCCTAACTTGTCTGTAGTAGTGTGGTAGCGGACCATCTTGCTGGAATACAATATCAGCATCGAATTCATTAGGATTTGCTTCGACGATTTCGGTGATTAGAGGGTCAATAATATTTTCCAGCATATCCAAATACAGTTCCCTGTTTAAAGTTGGTTCGATGAATAGAGGCCCTACAATATGATTTCCGAATATCCCAGCCCAAACGTTAATTGTTTGTGGATATTGAGTATGAGTTTCCCGGAAGATGTGAGGATTGATGTAACTCCAATAACGAAAATTTTGTCTATGGATATTACCGTTGAGAAAAAATGTACATTCATCACTAAAACAAATATTTTGGATATAGGTAGGATGCCGTACAATGGTTTCCGTCATAGTCTGGCAGAATTCTGTTCTTCGATCAGGGTAATCTTCAGTTAGCTGATGTACCATACAGTAGAAGGACAAACCTCACATACATTCGCGATGGAGGAAGTAGACTGTTGGGGATTTACTATGATCTCACCAATTATTTGAACTTGCTTTTCTTCCGGGATGGTCGGATGACCTGGGGGCTTTTTGTTGTTTACACTACCAGTATCTGTACATTTAGATACAAGTTCCCTTAAATATTTTCTACAGTTAGGACGGCTCGGGAAACGATCATTAAAAATCCTTTCGGTCTCGTGCAAGTTACGCGTCGCACCATAAATAAAAGTCGCTTCGATTTTAAAAATAAATCAAACAGTATCTAGCACTAAAACCGAAAACTAAATAAGAATATTTTAACTGTACAATGATGTTTGTTTTCGTAGTGATATTCTTGTCACTGTCAACAAAAAAGAACAAAACAGGTTTTTATCGCTGTTGCTCTGGATACGGCAGGGAATTACAATTATTTGTAGAGATATGCATGTTAATGGTTTGTGTTCAAGTAATTATTGAATGTACCACCATTTTGTAGTAGGCACAGGTATTGACTTTATATTCTAGGGTTATACAGTACTCGTTCGGAGCTTCAAAATGATGTGCCACAAGAACCCCGTTTTCATATGATTTTTTTCCAAGATGGCGCACAGCGGCATTTTCATCTGTCAATTTTACTCTAAAATATGATATCCACGCAAGTTCATTACCTCAAGTTTTACTTTTTTGAATTGATCCGTTCAGAAAATCAAAGGGGAGGGACATTAAAGAAAATAACTGTATGCACATTAAGGAAACGCGAAGGAATCCGCGGTGGTATTTGTCATCTGCACGTGTCAAAGGTGACGCGCCCCAAGACAAACTACCCATTTGTCGGGTACGTCGGTTAGCAAGAAGTAATCAAAAACCTGAAGCAGTATTTAATCAATATTAAATACACAAAAAACACCGCACTTAAAAATTACCATACTGACTACTATTGAAGGATTAATGACAGCTAACTACTAGAAAAAAACAGCAAAAGTAGCTAAGAACAAGCAAAGCTTTATTAAATGTGCACTTCTACCAAAAGTTATCTTTCTTAACCTAACCAGCTGTCTGCCATGCACTATTGCCACTTTTAACAGTTACTCAGAGACGGAAGACGTTGCCATTTGCTAATACAGGGAGGCCAATATATAAGTGACTGATTTAAAATGGTAGCAATTTTAGTAGGTGGCGCCGTAGTAGTTGTTTAAAGCACATGACTGTCTAAATTCATCATGGAGCGCTACACGATCCCACAACGCGTTCGTATTGTTGAAACGTTTTACTTTAATAATGAGTCGATTGTTGCAACGATTCGGAATCTACGACAAGATTTCGATCGAAATAATGTGCCCAGTGCCAACACCATTCGTCAGTTGGTGTGGAAATTTGAACAAACAGGTGAACTGTTCGTACTCCAGAAAATATCGAGAGAATTCGTGAAAGTGTAGTGGAGCGCCCTGAGACGTCTACCAGACATCGTTCTCAAGAACTGGGAATTCGTCGCACATCATTAAGCACTATTTTAAAAAAAGACTTGCATTTGCGGCCATACAAAATTCAATTAACCCAAGAACTACAGCCTAGTGACCATGAAAGTCGCCGACATACAGTCATGCAATATTGCAACTTAATACCCAAAATAACGATTTTTACCGACAACTGATAATGAGCGATGAAGCCAACTTCGATATAAACCGATTTGTTAATAAGCAGAATTATCGTATCTGTGCATTCGAACCCTAGTGTCATCCATCACCGACCACTACATCCTCGTTGAGGCACAGTTTGGTGCTGTGTTTGGTATGGCGGCGTCATTGGACCTTACTTCTTTGAAGGCGCCAGGTGATTCTCTTCCTGTCACTGGCGAGCGCTACCGTGATATGGAGCAAAACTTTCTGGCTCCTCAAATCCAACAATTTAACCTGCAAAACATGTGGTTCCAGGAGGACGGAACAACTTGTCACACAGCTAGGGAAACAATGAATCTTTTGCGAACAATATTTCCGGGACGTTTAATTTCTCGATTTGTTGATGTCAACTGGCCACCAAGGTCCCCGGATTTAACAGCTCCTGACTTTTTTATGCGGATTTTTGAAAAATAGGGTTGATGCCAACAGACCAAATACTGTAGCGCAGCTGAAGGACAATATTACGGAAGCGATTGAAAATATTCCTCCCGAAACCTACCAAAAAAAAAAATTATGGAACCTTGAATAATTGTAAATTCCTGACACATTGTTTCCATCGCTCAATGAATGAATGAAGTAATTAGAGGCATACCAGCCACCATGAGGAGCCGGCGCATAGGCCAGATAAAAATTAGAACATTTTCTATATCGATTCTGATTTTCGTTCACGCGACATTACATATAAAAATGCATCTCTTTGTATCAGAGCACAAATTCTAATACCTCGTGTTTACCTGGCCAACAAAACCGCCTTTGTTCAAAACTCTTCTTCATTGTATACCGTTTCAGTCCCATCGGTGACCTTCTTCAGTACAATTGACACTTTTTTGACAATGTATTTTATTTATCTATCTTCTAGGTGACATTTCGTTTGTTTTTCGTTTCACTTTCAAATTCCTATACAGTGTGTTGCTACAATAGTCTGAAAGGTCCACCGTAAGATGCTGAAGCCATCATTCCAAATTTTGATGGTACCACGCAAAACCGGCATAGCCCAGGACTGCTTGGGGTAGATATTCCCGCTCCCAGAAGGAAATCTAGCCCTCCAGAACCAGAAGCGACAGATAACCTCAAATTCGCTTGTTGTTTTGGACAATACAGGTGTTATTTTGCCACATCATTCTTTTAACACAACCCATGTATACTAAGTGACATATAAATTGTATAAGTACTTAATGAAGCATAATAAGTAAATGATAAAAATTTCAAAATGATTGCACTGCTTTAAAGCCCTTTGACCTTTAATAATGTGTGGATGCACCCTGATGTGCTACGCATTCTCCAACACGCCTAGGCATGCTTCTGATCAGGTGGTCAATGTCCTCCTGTGGTATCTCATTCCAGGCAACCACCAACTCCTCTCGAAGTGCTTCTAGAGTCTGAAGAGGACGTTGCAAATTGAGCAATCTCCTACCCATCTTATCCCACACGTGCTCAATTGGGGATAAGTCGGGAGATCTTGATGGCCATGGTAACAATGTGACATCATTATGTTGAAGGAAGTCTATTGTGACTCTTGCAACATGTGGTCGGGCATTATCTTGTTGGAAAGTTGGATCTGCCAGGGTGTCAAGATAGGGTAAAAGATGGGGTTCTAGAACTTCGTGGATATAACGCTGCGCGTTCATGTTACCTCTGATGAAGATTAAAGGTGACCTGGAATCATAAGCTATAGCACCCCAAACCATAACTACAACAGTGTGATGAACATGTCTTTCAACAAAAAACTGTGGATTCCTCCGTTCACCACGTCGCCTTCTAACCCTGGCACGACCATCGTGCATGCCTAAACAAAATCGAGACTCGTCACTAAAGACAATACTGTTCCATTCCTGATCCCAGAGTGACCGTTGTCTGCACCACTCAAGGCGATTACGTCGGTGTTCTCGAGTTAAAGGGAGGACCCAGTGTGGCCGGTATGAAAACAAGCCAAAACTTCTCATTCGTCGGTAAACACTTCGCATGCCAATAGGTCTTCCGTGTTCTGCAAACCATTCATTTGCAATGGACCTGGTAGTGGAGAAACGGTCCCTTAAGGGAAGGCCAATAATCTTAGGCGGCGATCTTCACGGTCTGTTGTTCTACGGGTCCAGCGCCCCTTGCTCTTTGCGTACGGCCTTCTCGAAGCCATGCCTGACAACACCTAACCACAGTGTCTAACACTTCTTTGCACTCTAACTGCAATTGCCCGAAAAGAAAGTCCAGCTTCCCGAAGTCCCACTATACGGCCCCTATCAAACTCACTAAGTTGACGAAATCGTACAGGTCTCCGTAGTCTAGGCATCGTAACCGATCGTAAAGGATGTCAAGAACCAAAAAAAAGCAGTATAAAAACCGGAATGTCCACTGATAAGGCTGAAAATTTTTTCACTTGTTATTTACAGTAAGATAAATCCATTCACCAACTTTTATTAAAATAAAACCATTTAAACTGGGTGTTCGGATTTATATGTCACTTAGTATATTTGATCAACCAAACATTGGGCTTTGGCTTTGACCAAAAATTGGCTTCGATCAGGACCTACTTATAACTATAAATATTCTAGTAGTGGAGATTTAAATAAATCATGGTTGCTAAGGGATTTTTCGCGTGCCCACTCTACTAGCTGCGCATTCCTATATGGTCAGAGAAGTCGGAACGCATAAAGCGATGAATTAAAGCGGCATTTACATATATTTCTGAGTGGACTTCGACTTACTGGCTGTAATGGCGGATTTTACGACTGTCCGAGCACGAGCTAACGAGTTTCTTATCCATTGTTATGGAGGAGATTTGTTAAATCGCGAAGGCAGACGCCGACGTTGGTAAAAAGGGGTCGTTGTTTGCTGGCCGGTCAGCAACGCTGGAAGAGCAACGGCACTTTAGACCATAATAATAATTTGTGTTTATTTGTGACAGCAATATCTCTGCA